CTCATGTTTTCTTGATAATTCAGTGCACTATACAGATCAGTGGTTCAGTTTGGCCAATACAAAATGGCTGTTTATTTAGTTAGTAATTTTTACTAGTATCGCTCAGTGAGTTTTACCGAGAATTAATCTGAGCACGGCAGATTTGTAAATTGAAAATATATACGAAGAGATAAGCTAATGAATGGCTTTCAACACACAATTTCCACTGATTGCAAACAAGTATGCATAGGGCGCAAAGGCGGAATATCCGACATTGCAAATACAACCAGATATATAGAAAACAAGCAAAATTATAACAAACTTTACGCCAACCGATCGAGTCTTGATCGATGCTCAAATTTCAATTTCAAAAGTCTACCAATATTCAATAGTTATAAATGTTTTGAAGTAGGAAAATCAAATTTATTGCAAAATCCCGCAAATTTTAGGATGTTTATAAGACTACAGCCTATAATCACAGCGGTTAAAACCATTGTAACGTAGCAACGGCTTTATAAAAGCAATGGCGGACAACAAATATAACTCTTGGTGCGAAATTTGTGACATTTATGTTCAAAATATGGTGCATTTCTCATCGCAATTGGACAAACGCCTCTCTACAAAATACATGCAATTAATCGCTTTGGGGAACACACTAGTGTACACTTTTACGCTTCATACAAGTGACAATAATAAAAAGGAGTACTGTACGAAGCAATTCAGATATGCACATTTGACGATATCTGCAAAGAACGAGTTGAAATTGGACCTGCAAAATACCTAATATGTCGAAATCACATACTTTCCTATACAGAGATTAAGGCAAAGATATTGAATGCTCGGGAACATACTTAGACAACTCGAGTTGTACCAATTTTTTTACGGATAAAAGTTTGACCGAATCGGTGAAGTTTTAGATATGCACATTTTGGATTTCTCAACCGTAAGTTACCAAAAATACAAATTTTACATTATTCCCATTCAAATTATATAAGAAGACGCCATTTTGAATTTTTATTTTGAGTCGAAATGCGCATGCTTAGCAGCCATGTTGGACTTCATTTCTGGCCATGGTTAGCTTGGCCACAGTGGGAATCGAACCTGTGACCGTGGCCAAGCTAACTTTTCAGCTTGCCCAGTGTGGATGCACACTCAGTGAGAGTCAGTGGCATAGCCAGCCCGACAATTTAGTTCCGCTATGCAAATTCAAAATTATTATCATTATTCATTTCTCTAGAAATTTATTGTTTTCACAGTCAATGAACATGAAAATATTTGCATAGCGGGACCAAATAGTCGGGCTGGCTACGCTACTGGTGAGAGTAACATCACAAACATATATTCACCTGAGTACATGACACCAACACACACAAAATAATCGTATCATTGAATACCCCTGTACACTGATATCGAAGGAACTAGACTCAGTTCCAAAATATCATCAACTCGAACAGACTTGACCATGTAGCTCAGTTGGCAAAGCATTGGACTAGTATCCCAAAGGCCGCAGGTTCGATTCCCACCGTGCCCAAAATAACTTTTCAGCTTGCCCGGTGTGGATGCACACTCAGAGTAACATCACAAACATCAATCAATAATTTGCTCCTGTTATATATCAACCTTATATATTTTTTCTTACTAGGGATTGTCATTAATATATGGATTTAACAAAAGCTTCCCAGGAGAAGGCAAGTTGTCTAAACAAGTGGTATTATATGTAATCATTAATGGCATTCTAAGAACTTCATGGTCTATTTGGAAAGTGTTATTCTTTTGCTGGAGAGCATTTTTGTGAATTACCAAACCATGCAAGGGATGGAGTTGCCGACTTGTGGTATACAGCTTGTTTTGTACTAAATTTTTACTAATGGACTTGCTTGACATGTTTGATTGAGAAGTGACACTACATACATTTAATACATGCAGTATGTTTTACTTGTAGAGATTCTACATTGAACAGAATATTAACCCTTTAAGTGGCAATTTGCTTTACTTTTTATTTTTTCTGTCAAATGTGGTCAGACAATTTTTGCTCATTAAGGAGAGAGTGCTGCCACTTAATGGGTTAAAGCTTTTCTGTAAATGTAAATTTTTTGAACGATAACTATGTAATAGCCGGTACTGTGCTGGGAATGGAACCTGCTGCCCTACAGGTGATTCTGATCAGCTTTTTAACCGTCAAAGGTCCTGAAGCCCTAAGAGTCCATCGCCCTGACAGTCAATCAAGCTCTACTGTAACCAAGAGTTCATGTATATAATACTAGTGTCATCCTGGGCAGTTTATTTAATACACTACCAATGACACCACCATGGTATACATACAACAACTTGTGGTTACCTCTTGGCAAAAGGGCTCTTTAGGTCAGAGGGCTGCGGTAGAATTGTAGGGCTGCAGGTTCAATTCATGCTGACACGCTTGTAATTGTATTGCACATGTATTCATGATATCATTCTAATCATGTATTCATGATATCATTCTAATCAATTTAGAACTTCATTAAAATATTATAGGGCGTAAGAGTATTTCATTATATTATGCCACAGCAAATTGTATTTCCTGCTATAATATACCTTACTTGTAGAGATAATAAATTATTTTGACTCGAAAAATGTCTTTATTGATTTCTAAAGTTAGTTAAAGACTTTTCTTTACTCCGATATATAGAAGTCATTTTGTCTCCACAGGAGTCGACTTGACTCCAAAAGTGGAGTAAATAAAAAAGGTACAGAACGACTCCTTTTTTGGAGTAAATTTTACTCCTTTATTTACTCCATTTTTGGTGCAAATTTTACTCCTTAAGTAGAGTTGTTTTTACTCTTTGAGGAGTAAAAACAACTCTACTTATGGAGTAAAATTTACTCCAAAAATGGAGTAAATAAGGGAGTAAAATTTACTCCAAAAAAGGAGTCGTTCTGTACCTTTTTTATTTACTCCACTTTTGGAGTCAATTTGACTCCTTGAAATTAACAGTGTTCTTACGTATATGGTGCTTATACCATGAACTTAGGCTAGACAGGTTCTTAAATAGGTTCTTATTTTCTTAAGACAAAATTAGGGGAGGTATGTGGTATATGAATTACGTAAATTATGTACAAATGATCGAAAACTGAATAACAGTATATGCACTACAGTACAACAACAATGCACTTTAAAGCTACGGTGCACTGATTGGAACTAATGACTTAATTAATTTTGACTATATTTGATAATATAAGAATCTGTTTCAAAATTCTAGCCTCAACAGGTTCTCATCTAAAGGAGGTCGAAATAAAATATTTTAGCCTAACAAGTTCTTAAATTCTATAGGTTCTGATACGCGGGATTTACTGTATTCAATCTGTACGGTAAAATATCAAACCGAGGTTTGGAGTATTGTCCGAGCGATCTCACGCTCATTTAATAAGTAGTTACGGTATGCTTTATTGTAAGTATGATTGCACTCAGTTAAATCTGTTATATAGATAGTGTCATCTGTTCAATGGAAGTATGTGTTTATATATCTCAAAAATACACCTTATACAAATTTAAAATGAAAGCTTTTTTTTTAATAACTTTATTGGCATGACCCAGTTACATGCAGGTATTGCCAAAGTGTGAGAACACTGCATAACAAAACATATAAAATATAAAATATAAAATAAAAGCTATAGGTATAATCTTGTGTCTAAAACTTTCACCTTTGTGGTTTATAATTTTTTTTCTAATTTTTATTTCTCAAGGATATATACAAAAGGTTAATTTGTTTAAATTTGCAACGTTTCGGACATTTTAAATGTCCGTCTTCAGGCAAATTATACTGTATATACAAACTATTATATATACAAACTATATATACAAACTATATATACAAACTATATATACAAACTATATATACAAACTATATATACAAACTATAGTGGCAGTTGGCGTCTACTTCCCCCCAGGGCAGTCGGCAGAAAGTGAAAGAGAACTGATTGAGTATATTACTAGGGGACTTGATTCTGTCTTACGAGATTACACGTCTGCTGGTGTATGCATAATGGGAGACTTCAATCAAATGAAGCTGAGTAGACTATGCAGAAGATTTAACTTGAAGAAGTCTGTAAAAGCACCGACAAGAGGCACCAGAGTTTTGGACCAAATACTAACGAACATGTCAGATTTATATAAAGAAGTGGTGCACCTGCCTCCAGTTGGTCGCTCTGACCATCAATGTTTGTTGTATAGTCCCAAAACAATACAAACCGTGAAGCCTTCTACTCGAAAAGTGCGCCTAACGAAATCATGTAACCTAAATGCACTCGGCCTAAAATTAAACCTTGAGGACTGGAAATCAATATTTGAGGCTCGAGATATCAATAACAAAGTTAGTCTTTTTACAAATACTATAATAGACATATTAGATAAAACAATACCTGTAACCACGATACGTACCCATGCGTCTGACAAGCCATGGATGACGGCTTATATCAAAAAGAGATTAAAGCGAGGCAAAAAAGCCTATAATACTGGGAACATGACCAAATATAGACAATTGGGTGATAAGATCATTACACTTATCAAGAAAGCTAAAGCAGAATTTTATTCATCTAAGGTCAAAAGCAAACGCAAACACGATGCAGCAAAATGGCATAGAACGATATCCCAGTTAGCTGGCTTTGAAGGTGACAATCTAAACAACAACTTAATCTCAGACAGCACTCCCGATACAGCGGAAATACTGCAGAATATATTTACTAAACCATGGTCAAAACTTCCTGAAACCATAATCCCTAGTCTTGAAGACGTAGCGTCATCACTGAAGCAAGAAAATCCTCCTACTCCCTCAATTGGACAGGTTAAGACTGCCTTGAAACAACTAAACTCTAAAAAAGCCACCGGGTCCGATGGGATTCCAGCATGGGTACTTAAACGATACTGTGAAGAACTAGCGCCCATCGTTCATGACATTATTTGCGCCAGTATAAAAGAATGTGAATATCCAACTGCGTATAAACACGCCTTAGTTATCCCAGTTCCGAAGGTCAATCCACCAAGAGATATCGAGAATGACTTTCGCCAGATATCCATTCTTCTCCAAATGGCTAAAGTGCTGGAAAAGCTGCAGCTCAAACTGAACCTTCCCAGTTCATGTATAAATGATAATAAGCATGCCTTTACAAGCAAACGATCAACCGTGTCCGCACTCACCAACATTTCGCAGAACTAATTTAATGTGACCGACAATACTCATAGCGCCAAAAATGGAGTTCATGCACTATTCATAGATTTTCGCAAAGCGTTTGACCTTGTTGACCACGGAATTCTACTTCGTAAGCTCGCAGAAATGAATGTAACCAAAGCCTTTTGGCTATGGGCACCTAGTTTTCTGGAAGATAGAAGACAACAGGTCAAACTAGCAGGAACCCTATCATCGGTCAAACCTTGTCCTGCAGGAGTCCCACAAGGTTCTGTGATGTCCCCCGCTCTTTTTAATATTCACATTAACGATATTGAGAACTCAATCCCAGATGGATTATCCATAAACATATGCAAATACGCGGATGATTGTACACAGGACAAAGTGGTGTCACAAGGTTCATCCAGCCATATGCAGGAGGCCCTTGAAGCAGTACAAGAATGGTCTAATAGGAACAAAATGACGATAAATTCGAAGAAAACAAAAGATATGTGGATATGTTTTAACACAGCAATACCGGCACCATAACCATTGGTCACTGGAAACGAGGTAGTGCACTGTTAATTTCAAGGAGTTATTTTAACTCCACCATAGGAGTTAAAACTACTCAACTCGGGAGAGTAAAAATTGTGGAGTAAAATCTACTCCCAAAATAGAGTTAAAACTACTCCACTTTGGCGTGCATTCTACAATTTACTCCTTCAGGAGTCAATTTAACTCCGCTGGAGGAGTAAACTAAACTCGCTTTTAGGAGTAGAAATTATGGAGTAATTTGTACTCCTTAATTTTACTCCAGGGGTCGTTTCAACTCCCAAAGAAGAGTAAAATTGTTCTGGATCTGGAGTAAATTATTACAATATATAATTAATGTGCCTGAGAATCCAAGAGTTTTTCTGCTGGAGGCTATACTCTATTAAAGTATTGAATACAGTCAGATGCGAAAAGCACGAAGTTCGAGATATAAACCCTTTTTTTATAATTTTCCGTTTTTGGTTACTCGAATGTTGCTAAGTCAGATTGATGCCATCGATGTATTATGCTGTATATCGGCTTCCGTCACACGCGGCGATCGAATGTAGCCAGAAATTGTCAGCGAGTCATCTATATTTTTTTATTTGCTGCCTAAATCTGTAATTGGAGCGTGTGGAATGTTCTGCTGCTGAATTCTGCTGAATATAATTTGCGACAAGTGGAAGTTCCAGATTTTCAACCAATTAGCATGTTTAGAATATATCACGTGTTGTAGGTAATTCGATCTGGTTCACACAAAGACCAAGCGCCAAGTTCAATCCTTCGGGAGCAAACATTCAAATGTGAATGATATTTATTCAAATTTTCTACTTATAAAGTTGCAAAGACCTAATAAGATACATGGAATTTGTTTTCAAAGGTATGTTTATTGTGTATTTACTTATTTGTGTGCGGAAAGTTACTTGATATACTGCATAGTTATATTTTTAAATCGAAGACGAAGGCCTGTATTTTAGTCGCTTCGCCGCCGATTTGCCGATCTAGACGTTCAGTTTTAACTTTCGATTAATTTGTATTAGCAGAAGTCCATAAGTCTAATCTACAGTCTCTACTTATATGTGTTGTTAGCCCCGTTTACACGAGCAAATTTTATTTGACAAATTTCATTTCATCAAAAGCATTTGTTGTTCAAATAAATTTGTCACAAATTTATCATCTACACGAGCAAAATATCTCTGACATATGAAATTTGTCAAATAAAATTTGCTCGTGTAAACGGGGCTTTATTTGTGTGATATACATGTACAGGGTGTATAAAAAAAAACGCAACCTCGGAATTTCCTAAGAAATCACTCTGCAATTCTTAAGCATAAAAGATTTTAGGCCCCTGGGAATTGAAATCGAATTGCTAATAGATCATATTACTGTTGTTGTGCATTAAATAAATGCATAAATTTTGCTTTATGCACTCGCGTGTGCAGTAATTTTGACAGTTATGCTATTTTAAATTCCCAGGCGCCTAAAATCTTTTGTCTTTAAAACAATGTCGATTTCTTGGGAAATTCCGAGGTTGCGCTTATTTTGATACACCCTGTATGTTGTACTTCGTGTTAAATATGTATACTTCAATATATATGTGATCTGTTTGAAATGCAGTCACATTTGACAGCATTGCAATAGCCCATCTAATATTACCCAGTGTATGGCTTGTGCTTGCTCTGGTAGCCCTCCTATCGGCTATCAGTCAGCCTAAAACATGTGTAAGGGGCTGCTTATATAGAGGTGAGCCACTCAGGTAACCTGGCTATAGCTCGCTTTCCCTGGATGAATGTCTGTTTACATGAGCCTCTTTAGATGGGCAGGCTTGCCAAAACAAATCACCCAGACTGAGTTATATAGTACAAGCACATT